AAATAAAGGAAAAGAAAGAGACTTACTAATCTGGGGTGTTTTTGATTCTACTTTTGAACAGACTGTGTTAAATTTCTGGAATAGAATCATTCTTCGCTTGGGTTGGGTAGACCACAAAACTTTTAGTCCTATTCAATCCAGATTGGACAGTAACAAAAAAAAAAAAAAAAAAAAAAAAAAAAAAAAAAAAGAGAGAGATAGATTTTGCGGAGAAAAGGGTGAACCTCCCAACCTCCGTTCTGTATAATGTATTTAGAAATATATATATATTGACTATTCGATTACTTTCCTTTTTTTATTTAAGCCATTCCGAATATTATTCCTTAGAAAGCTAATCTATGTAAAAATACACCAATTTTTGGAAGTTTATCTACACTTCAGCAGCTACTGCAACTATATTATTATAAATATTCATACATATGCTCATAATAAACACGAATATGAACTGACCACGCGGAACGAGAATGCAAATTATTAAAATTACTGATAGAAATTCAAACGTGTGTAGTATTTGGGTGGAAGGAAAAGAATACCGAACGTAACGGAATTTTCTACGGTTTTCGCAATTCTTTGACCAATAGAACGACGTGCACCTGTCTGTACTCTCGCGCGCACCACAGGTTACGTTAATGCAGAGAAAGGGGGAAAAGCTATTTCCGGGAGTATCATTCACCATCTGACGTTCCATATAAGGAAGAAAAGTTGTTTATTTAGTTTCGGTTTTGGTACGGGGGAAAATGCGCGTTCATTAAAAAAGCACTAAATGCAAAAAATAAGCACTAAAAACAAAAAATAAGGGCTTTAAAGAAAAAGTAAGCACCTATAAGGGCCTTTATATTTTATTTTCAAATATAAGGACTTATAAGCACTTGTAAGGACCGCTACGAACCCTGGCAATGCTAAAAGTTAGGTTAGATTTTAGGTAAGTTTAATTTGTGTCAGGCGTATTCTTAAAAGCCACCTTAACACTTGAGAACACAAATATAATTATAATAAGAGTTGTTTTCTCCACTGAAGATTGAGATTAGAATCTGCCCAATCTGGAATAAAATAAGGCTTTTTTTTTTGCAGATATTCTGCAGCTAAACGAAAGAAAGAAATCTATTTAATGATATTTTTTTACTAAATTGAGGTATTTATATTTATTTCGCAGCATACATAAGGAAAAAATATGTGCATTAAATTTCGTGATGTCATCATACTGCTAGAATTAATTTCAGGATTATGGCAGAGAAAATTTCCTGAAATTTGGAAATATTATTTACTAATGATAAATAAATTTAGAGGGAAGAAGCAACATTAAATGATATGAATAACATAAATAAAGATAATTACTTAAAAATTGAATTAGAATAATCAACGATATTTTAGCGAATATATTTGTATTACATGGTTATCCTAGACGATTGATTACTATTTTTTTATTTTACTGCAAAATGACAAGGTATTTATTTAAAAAAAAAGAGAGAGAGAGAGAGCGATTTTGCGGTAAAATCCTAGTATACGATATGGCCACGGCCATGATTTTGAAAATTGTCGCCAAGAACAAAATGACCCGTTTACTGCTCATCATCATGTCGCCAAATCCCGCTTTACCATACATGGAGATTATTCTGACCAAAGAACATCTATGTAAAAAGCGGAGGGAAAATTTGCCAAGGGATTTGACGATGGAACGGCCAGAATTTCCCTCTCCACGATGTGTACAGGAAATGAGAAATTGAGAAACACGTGTTAAGAAAGAAATAAACGTTCTTTGACAAAAAGAAACTACGAAAATCCGTTTTTAAATTACTGCGAAAAATCCAAGAAGAAACGTTTTATCAAAGAACGTTTTTTCTTGGATTTTTCGCAATAATTTTAAAAACGGATTTTCGTAGATTCCTCCCCCTCAAAATAACTAATCCATGAATTAATTTACTTGAGCTAAAAAATATTTTCTTTTCCTTTAGAGTTTAAAGACATTTTAAACGATATTCATTTTATGAACTCTTGATAACGTGACCTTCGAACTTCGACACCAGTTTCGAGCTTTGGCAACAGATATATCGTGCACGCACAGCTATTTCCCGCTATGATGGAACCGAGCTACGTCTGTTGCAGAGAGGTTTTCCTTCTTTACAATACATATTTTTTAATTCTAACCTATATGGTACCGTATACTAGGATTAAACCCATTTTGTTTTATACGAGAACAGGTACTTTCTTTAGTTCATGCACTGCACATGCGATTCTCGAGGTTACTGGAAACCAAAAGTTGCGGGAAACTTGCTTTGCCTTTCTAAAAAGACAATCAAATTTGAGCTGCGAAAATTGGCTCTATGCCAGCTGCCCGAATGACACTCACGTGATACACAATTCGCCAAAAAAGTGATCTCTTCCGACGTCGGCGCAAAACTCGCCTTTTTTGGCGGGATCGTTGTATGAAATTCCCTGACTTTTCCAGATTCTGACTAAAACACTTAAATTCCCTGACTTTTCCCTGAATTTTTTGGTCAATTCCCGAATTCCCTGACCTTTTCCGGTTTTCCAGGTAGCGTGGCAACCCTGTATCAATATCACTTTGGTATAACCTTATTTCAGCTTCTACTTTTGACTTTTCATTATCACTAAAAATATGGGACATAAAAGATGATAATTTTTCAAAAGCTAATATTGTACTGGTTTTACCTCTTAGCTCTGGATCTAATGCTGTAAAACTAATTAGATATGAATTTTTAAGGGGTAATTTCGTTTCATATGCTGTGCTGTATTAGTATAAGCTTTCATCAGAGAAATTTGGAATTCTTTTGCTATTGGATAATTTTTTGATAATTTCTTCAGGAGAGTGGAAGCTTCTGCACCAGTAAATATTACTTTGCTAGGTAGATGGAATTCTGGAATTGTGACATCAACCTTTAATAAATCGTTATAAGATGTGCACTCTTTATTTTCTGGCTTCATAAAAAAAGAGAAAAATTTTGCCATCAATTTATAAATACTGGAATGTACTAAATGAAGCACTGGTTTTTTTGTTTCAAATAATTTAATATATGTGTTGAACTCTGGTAATACTGCTGAATATAATGCCATATGCAATAAAGTTTTGTTTTGCATAACAAATAACCCATTTAGTATTCTTTTTTTTTTTTTCCGAGCTAAAGCATCCTTTGTGAGTTGTTGGGAATGCAAGCAAAGAATACACCCCTTCAACAATTTTTTTCTGGAGCTGCAGAAATATTTCTTTTATTGTATACAGTTTCAACATAAGAAAAATAATCCCCTTTATCAGTTTTATCCAAGTAGTGAAAATAAAATGCAATAAGAGCATCCCACAGATCTTTGATTCTTTCTAAAACACATAAAATGTACACCCACCTATGGTCTGGTCTCTTCAAGGGCTTAAGTTTTTTAATGGCAAGGGATTCACAGATTTTGAAAAAATTTTCTCTTTTACTGCAGCTTTTCATATCAAAATAGATGTCATCAAACAAATCTTCTAAGTATCTATCAAAACATGAAGCAAATTTTTTTGCACAGTTATTAGCTGTGTGACATGTGTCACCATCAATATCTAATAAGTGAGGTGCTTTGTTTGATCGTAGTCTGGTTTCAACACCCTTTTTTTTCCACGCATGGTGTTACATGAGTCCATTAATACACTAATTAAGTTTGCCCATGGAATATTATTATCTTCAATAGTATTAACAACTGCTTTAAAAACAGCTTCTGAATTGCAAGATTCCATCTTTAGAGATGCAAAAATGATGAACTACAACTTCATTTTGATTGTTGTCATAAAACTGCACCAATATTGCCAGTATACTTTCTTGAGCATTGCTAGTACTTTCATCCAAATTTAGAGAAAATGGAGTCTCCTTTAAAGTTTTAATGATATTTTCCTTAATAGTTTTTGCGAGCCCATATTTCATCTTATAACATGCAGTAGTCCTGGACATTTCCAACGAGTTTAGTGCCGTCTGATCGCGGCTCAACTGTTTTGCAGAGTTCATTTAAATTGGGAGCTACATTGAAAGAAAGAGAATTCTCGGCGATAAACGAAGTTATTAATACCTCTTGGCGTGCTTTTCTTGTCACTATATCCAATGGCCGAGCATCAGTCTCCAGTAAGTCATCAGTATTTTTTGAATTAGCATAATTACTTAAAGTCATTGAATGTCTAATGCACTTTGAATATTTTATGTGCGTCACAGTTTTAGAATGATTTGTGAAAGCCTTGAATCCTTCCCCACCATACTTCAGCAGTGAGTTACAAAAAACACAATATGCTTGTCCAGCAACATTTATTTTCTTGCACCATGTGCCGATGGTATCCCCATTACCAACTCTCCATTCAATCCAATTCCACCTTCTTCTAATTGTATAATATCACTATTTATATCGTGAAATTCTCTTGCATACATAAATAAAAAAAATATTTCAATAAACGAAACGAAAAATTTACACGTGCATCAATAAATGAAACGAAAATTTTACACAGCGGAGAAAAAAAAAGTTGAGAAGAAGAAGCGATCAATGACAAATAGCTAATACGGCGAAAAATCCCCCTTCTCTACTTATTGGCGCCACGCCAGGAGAGATAAGACCTTTGAACCCAGAGTCACGTGATCGCACATCTGGTCGAACAAAAGTCTCTCCCTTTTTTTTTCTGCCGCGCCTACTTGCCGAAAAGAATCCAGAAGAGAATGTCCGAGAACCGGGGGAATGAGTCGTAACTCGCAATAAGGAAAGAACAAAAAAGAAGTTTTTTCCCCCTTTTCACGCATTATCACTGCCTTTGGAGAAAGAAAGGAAAAGTTTTCACCACACGCACTGACCTTGCGTTTTCTGCTTTCAAAGCAAACAAAATTACCCAGATCAAAATAAATAATTCATTATTATTCCTACTTCCTTTTGAACGATGATCCCCAGAATTTCTGGGTATCGAAGTTCAAAATCCCCGGAGCACAAACACCCCTGCTAAAAGCAGAAAAGTTATTAATTTGTATTAGTATACATACTTTTGTTTTTGTTGCTAAGGAAACAATTGTGAGATGCCGCAATTTATTGACCATGGCAGGTGTTAATTCAGGATATTGAGATTTATTTTCTATAAAGAAAATGATTTTAGAATACATAAATATATGCAGTGTCATTTATTCTCCAGTTAAAAAATGTTGGTACTTACGTATTAACACAACCACCATGGCGATTTTCACAAATAAAAAGGCAAAAGTTACTTATCAGGAGAAAACTGGGTTTTTGTAAATTTTTTTAACCCTTTCGGTCCTAATGGGTGCATACATCCCAGAGATTAGATTTCATGGCCTATCAGGTAAATAAAAAGGCCCACTTTTAAATGGGTTTTTAAGGAATCAGAGAACAAATATATGACCAGAAAAACCTGGCAACACTTTTAAATTGCAAATAGCACACTTATGTTTTTGAGCATGCCACTTGCTTAAATTTTGATTCATCTTTTTTTTAAATTTTAGAGTAAATGCAATTATAGCTAAGGCATGCTTAATATAAAATAGCTCTTATTAAGTAGTAATTTAACTTGTAAGATTTAAGAAATTTGGAATAAATTCTTTTTGTAAGATATATTGTACCAATTGTATTGAACAGTGGGTTAATATGGCCCATCAGTGATCAACTTACTTCATTCTGATATATTATGTTTATGAAACATACATGAAAATTTTTATTGTATATGAACTGGTGCATGTGGCAGACTTTACGTTTTGTAATATTCACATTATATTATTAAAAAAAAATTTAATTTTGTTTTCTGAGAAAGAATAATATCCCACATGATTGGGACAAATAGTCCCAGTTGACAATTCGATTGGGAGACTGTCCCAGAAGATTTCCAGGAAACATGAAAAGTTAAAAACTTTAAACTCATATTACATTTCTTTTAGTACATCATTAAATTAAACTACTATTCATAGTTTAATTTTAATTGTGCAAAAGTTAGGTGAAAAGGTTTAAAAAGATTCTGAAACTATCAATAATTACTGCAAAATGGAAACATTATCAGCATATGAAAAGGAAATCATACTTTAAAATACAAATTTTATTTATTTGTATTATGTAATTTTATTTATTGTTATTATGTATGTTTTACAATATATCAAAAAATAAAACACTTAAATTTTTCTCCAAATCTTTCTGTAATTTTTTTCTCCCTTAGGACATAGTGAACTGTTTGCACTTAAAAAACATAAGAGAGAATTGCAGAGATACAGAATTTAGCAAACTCCAATAACATTGCCTATCTACTAAATATATCTCTTCGTTGTTCTCTTTAAAGATTTTGTGTCAAAATTCTGAGTTCTTGAAGAAACTTTACTACAGTTTATTCCATCACTGGCAAACACCATAAGCGTGTATTTTCAGTATGTGCACGATTGCCAGTTTGGCACATTCTGAAAATTTGGCAACTTCTACTAAGGTGGTTGCGATAACACATAAGTACCAAAATGTTTACAATATTGATATTTCTTTAACATAAATAATAATAATTAAAAAAGAACAAAAGAAAATAGAATTTAAAAACATGACTGAAATAATGCCATACAAATTAAATATATTTTCGGCCATTATACTAAATGAGGTATTTAAATAAAAAATTAGCAATAATGAGTATCAAAATAGATAAAAAATTAGTAAAAATAAATATTTTTTATTCTTACTCCTTTTACATGAATTATAGTACGAATAAAAGAATACAAATCTATTTTCCTTCTTATTTAAAAAAAAGTTGATTGTAGATTTAAAAAAAAATACATATATTATACCACTTTATGTAAACTGATGCAAAAAATCTGAATTCCAATAACTTTCTATTTAAAACCAAAATTAACCAAAGATTGAATTTTAGTAATTTTAAAACTGAACAGATTCATAAAACTGAAATCAAAATATAATTTTACAAACACCGAAATAAGCGATAGGTACTTTCAGCTTCTAATAATTTAAACCTATTACAGGTTCTATAAAAACACTGCATGCTAGAATATTCGATTTGACTGTAAATGCAGGAATTGTTAGGCAATTTGACAGTTTTTGCAGGAATTCATGCTGAATAAATTGACTGGGAGCAGTTTTAAGCATTTTCTTTGATGAGCAAATATTCTTGTCTAATGAGAATAAAATATCTGTTTTATAAGCTCTTTTTACTTTAGGAAGGTATTTTTCATTTCATGCAGTTCAAAAACAAATCCAGGAGGGGGGATGATATTAAAATTTTTATTTATATATTAATGAACTTTGTGTCTTACATTTAAAATTACACTTTTTATTCATGAAATTTTGCTAATAAATAAATACAACAACGGATTTAAGAACCAGAACAGAAACATCTTTTATTAAATACAATAATGGTAGAAATAGCTCCTTTTCTGTTAAAGGGGCTGTCACTTACAGCCAGAGATATTGAAACGTACAGGCGCGGTATGATAGCTTTCCCGCAAAGCAGGTTAGGGTTGCCATAAAATGGCAAGGGAAGGCAGAGTTGCCACATTTGGCAAGAAATTGCAATTTTGTATAATTTAAAATTGTTATGCTTAATTTGTGTATATAACTTCTATATAGTGTAAATGTTTGCATCGAATTAGGCTTCTGACCAACGGTTGTACTGTCCAGGATGTGCAGTCCTTGGGAGGGGGCAGTGTTACTAAATGTACAGGCGCGGTAAGATAGCTTCTCCGCAAAGCAAGTTTAGGATTGCCATAAAATGGCAAGGGAAGGCAGGGTTGCCAAATTTGGTGAGAAATCTCCCATTTGACGACAAAATTGGTGATATGCCTTGGATGGATGGAGAACCTTCTGGAATGAATTCTTACCGGTTTAGTCTAGAATTTTCTTGAACACAAGCTGAAAGCTATATAAACCCTGCTGGTATGCGGAGAGTGAGTGTCTTAAGTTAGTTAGTCCGTGCCGAGTGCACCAAAAGAGTCTCTTAGTGTATCGTCGAGAGAGTGTGTTAAGCTGCGAGAATGACTGTTGAGGAGTTGGGAGCTATACTCTAGTGTAATCATCGAGTGCATCGCAAGTTGTAGTGTGGAGAGTCTCAAGATTATGTGGAGTTCCGAGAACGGCCGAGCAGAGTCGGGAGCTGCACTCTGGTGCTTTGCAGTGAAGCTGTCTTCATCGTTATACTCTGCCTGAAGGCTGTGTCACTGATTGTTACAGCGTGTGTATGGTAGTTATACGACGACTGTAAAAATGTGTTTTGGAGCTGTCCTGAGAATACTGGCCAATAATGTGTGTTTTGATATTCTATTGAATGCTGTTGTCCCTATTCACTCCAAATCTGCACAAACCCCGCACGTACGAACGTGAAGTGAAGGAATTAAATAACGTAACAATATATACTGCCGCAAAATCCAACGATACAATAGCTTCACGAAAAAATTTAACCAGTAATAACTGTAAATGCATAGATATATTGACAAAAAATTAAAAGACTAAAAGGTTATATAATTCACCTAACTAAGAAAACTGAACGTTAATATTATGGAATGAGAAAAGACTGAAACAGAAAATTAATGGTAACTATACAGGACAGTGACCTCAAACTCGCCCCCAAAGCAATTTTATGTGGCCTGCGAGTATATTTCAGTTATGTACTTTCTGTAATAAAACTTTATTATACTTGCGAAAAAATAACTATGCTCAGTTACGAATTTTTGCACACAGAATAATTGATTTATTTGAGAATACATATTTATGTGCAAAGCTTTTTTAAACAGGTGGAAATTAATAAGGAAAGAATCTGCCTGGCCAATGAGCATCTACAATCAATGAAGAAAATATTTCTTAGAAATTTCAGACTATTCTGTTACAACTAGGGAGCAACCTTCATAACCAGAATATTTATGGCACAGCAGCAATTCTCAAGCCACCTTCTTACACATGTTAATGCCAAACATCGTCTACAGTGATACCACGGCAACAAAACCTGGTCAATTAACCCCTTCGCGCCGACTGCCACGTATACGTGCCAGCAACGAACACACTTACCTACCGGCCGACACGCAGGTGTGCCAGAGCATTTTTGCGTTTACTACCGACTGTATTTGTGCCAGTACCCTGGAACGTTTTTCAAACTATAATTTCTGCCACAGATGGCACTGTAGTCCATATGTTTCAGATACATGTACATTAGACCTTCTACTCGAAATGAGAGAAGCATGACTCACATACACGTGTTTTTGATTATGTAAACAAACGGGGAACTAAATGTTTCCGAATGGCGTGATTTATAATCTCTTTAAATCGCACTTTATTCGCACGTGATAGTTGTTTATTGTAAGTAGAAGTTTTATATGCGCTAAAGCATTGAGTATTTCGGTTTACAGTTCAGTTTTTAGAAAATAATTAGATCTTGTTAGACGCAAATTCTTTCTGTTTTTACCGTTTCAATGTCGAAGCGTCGAAAATGTTTAACAGAGCATGAAATAACAGAAATGATGCAAAATATTTCAGATGTTGATTCTGAAAGATTAACTGAAAGACATTTTCCAAAACTTTGTTCAGAAGAGACTGATAAGGAAAATGAGACGACGATGCTTCGTTTGTTCACATTCCCGGAAAAATCCTCCAAAACGGCAAATGATTTTATTACGAGTTCAAGGAATGTAACGTAGGACTGTGTGTAGATCACTGTTTTCAAATTTTTCATACGAAAGAGAATTTTAAGTAATATCTTTAGTTTTCAGATGTATAATGTTAAAAGTCATAAAATGGTGAGTAATTAAAATAAAATGTGTAAAATATGCATTTAAACAAGAAATAAGGTAATTAAAGTATATATATAAATATCTATAAAGCATAAGCCGTTTAAATACTCTATAGAGCATTATTTAACAATGCGTTGATACTTCGGAAATTTCATGGATTTAGGCTTAGCAAAAAAAGCCCCCGGCCCTGGAGAGACACTCGCGGAAGACACTGCCGGCCTCCGCGATAAGCGCGCGTTTTCGCTACCCGGCTCAAAGGGGTTAATAAGTGTAAGACAGTTATATGGTCAGATGAATCATCTTTCACATTTTTCCCTGCAACAGGGTACATGTTTGCCAGACTCCTGCAGAAGCATATGAT